GGAGGGCGTGTGCCGGGGGCGGATGCAGGAGCCCGTGTGCCGGGGGCGGATGCAGGAGCGGGTGTGCGGGGGGCGGATGCAGGAGTGCGTGTGCCGGGGGCGGATGCTTTCCCCGCTCAGCGGCAGACAGCGTCTCCAGCGAGGCTCCTTGGGCGGCTGATTCCAGTTCCCGAAGGGGCTGCTTTTACCAATAGGGAGCTTTGTCTATGAACGGTTTGGGGTCGATACGTAGGAATAACAATGCGGTAGCAACAGCCGTCGTTTATTGAAGCCCGTTTCTTTCCGTTTATGTCGTCTCCAGATAGGACGTGGCAGCCCCAGAGGCAAATGGGAAAACCGAGGTCCGGGGAGCTTAAATCGTCGTAAGTCGCCACAAAAAGCATCGCGGCCGTTGCTCCTGCCGTTGTGGGGCATTTGTTTTGGTTTTTAATGTGAACGAGAAGAGCGGGGAACAGGGGGAGGCGGTAGACATTTCGTTCAGACTTCCGAGTTTCTGTTAAAAGGGCACTTATCTTGTAAAGGTCATTTTCCCCTTCGATTCACAGGAGAATTATCCCAGGAGCCTGATCAGTGCAGTGTTCCTCAATGAGGTGTCTCTCTCGCAAATGAAATAGATTTTTCCTGAAGGCTCAGCAGTGACTTTCTTAGCATTGTTCCAAAATGCCCGCTTAGTGACTCTGTTTAGGTTTCATATTTCGTTTGGTTCAAAGAAGGGGCGGAGGTCCTCATGGGAAGAGACGGTGGCAGCGGCAGCTGACCGATGTTTAAAAACTGGCTCGAGGAGAAAAGAATGATTTTCACGCTGTGAAGACCCCCGCCATGACCAATGTGAAGCTACCACGAACTCGAGAACTGTTGGCACACCGCGACGTGGCCACTTAAAGACGCAGCGACTCTGTGTGTGGTTGTCGCTCACAGTTGTCATACACCCGCTCTCGGGTCTGGGAGGGAGGGAGTATTTTGGGGTAGGCACGTTGCTTTCCTTGACAAAACCGGTTTTTGCTTTGTCAGGAAGGAGGGGACTCTAGGTTGTGAGCAGATGGTTCCCGGTGCGAGCCGCACAGACTTTTCCAGACCAGCGAGGAGGCGGGGTGAAGGGAGACAGCGTCCTCACGGCACGCACCAGCGGAAGCTGAATGAAGTGTTCGAACCATTACGCTTTGACCACATCGAAGGGTCCAGACAAGTTTTACTGGAATATTAGAGTGACCTTCTCTTGAAAAAGTATTTTATTATTTGTCATCAAGGCCAATAAAGACCAACAGATGCTCCGTTCTGTAGTCCGGTGGAAACCGTCGGGGCCGACGAATCGATCCTTGAGAGGATAATAAAACACGCATCTCGGTCATTGTTCTGGTCTTTTTCTTTCCCGAGTTTTTGGAATACCGAGACCTCTCTTGCTGACAGGACGCCCCAGCTTCCCTGCCAGGCCACAGGTTTCACCCCAGAGCCGCTGGTCTTCCTCTGTCCAGTTGGGGCACACGGCCAGCAATGGGTGGAGTTTCAGAGTTCCCGCTCTTGACCGCTGTGCTCTGCTGCCTTAGGGCACTCAGAGAAGGAGCTTCCCCCGGCCAGCGGGCACGGCCACCTCGTAGCCGAGCGTGACGTCTCGTGTCATCAAGTCCTATGGGCCACGGGCGTCTCTGAACCTCGTCCCATCCAGGCTGTCACCCGACCCCCAGCCTCACCCCCCTGTGAGGCTGGAGGAAAGGTCTGGACTGTGGGCTGGGGAGGATGTCTGTTTCATGCCCGTCTTAGGTGAGAGTAAGTGTATTTTATCTCTAATGAAAGATGGGGGATGAGCATCAAGGCAGTGGGTTTATATGAACTGTCCTGTGTGTCCCTTGTGACTGGTCCATGAGGCCAGCACAGATATTGTCATCCACGAGGAGAGGTCCAGAGAAAGTTACCACCTTAAGTCATCCTGCAAGAGACTCTTTTTACAGTGCGAGGGCAGAAGAGAGAAGGTAGAGCGTTGTCTTTCTTGTCCGGCCTCCGAATTCCAGCTGTTGTCACTGTGAGCGTGTCCGTGAGTGACCGGCGGAGGGGGACCCGTCAGGGTCTGCAGCGGCCACGCGGGAACCTGCACGACGCCATGAAACGAGTGAATTCGGAGATGGGACCGATACGTTGGCGGCGAGGACACGGAAGTACGCCGTGACGGCGTGTGGCAGTCACCCCCAGGGCTAGCAGCTCAGCCACTGGGCTTCTAAAGCAAGTGTTTGTCGCTGTTGCAATGTAATGACAACTAATTTATGTGTGGATTTCCCACGATGCATTAAAGCTTCATGCAAAAAAATCGACGTTTCTGACTGGAGAAGAACCGCAGCCCTTAAAGTACCTTCTTCCCGTTCCCATCTCCACCAGCCTTGTGTGTGTCTCATGCGATCTGAAGCAAACTCAGCTTCCTGTCCCCGGTTTGGCCCCAACCCTTCCCGCCCCCGCTGTGCCGATGGGACAGACCTCTCTTTGATGCCAGGCGAAGGCCCGGGCTGCCTAGCGGCTCCCGTGGTGCCCTGGGACCTTTAGGATTGAGTCAGGTGTCTCTAGAAGACGCCGGCGGTCAGGAGCGTGGTCTTCAGCAGCCTGTCCTCTCTCTGCTCTTTTTGTAGGTATTACCAGATCCGAATGACCTTGAAGGCGTCCTCGAGGGTCCCCCACCGACTGAGCGCCTCCGTCGCCGGGGAGACAGGTGAGCAGGAGGATGGCAGTGGTGAACCTTCGTCATCCCTGCACGCCAGGGCGTAGCAGACCGCACGCTACACGGAGACCCTCGGCGAATCAGCGTTGAATGCTGGACGAGCGAACTTGGAAGCGGGGACCCCCCCCCCGTGGGTGTGGTCGTGTGTGCGCATTGTTACAAGGGAAGCCTGGCTGAGGGCGACCCTCTCCCAGGAGCCACTGGCATTTGGGGATGTGCCCGGCTGTGGGGAGGGGGGTAAAGTCAAGTCGGGGGGAAGAGGGCGGGAAACGGCGTCCGGCGGGTAGGTTGAGGGGAAGCCTGTCGTCGAAGAGAATTCGGTAGTCACTGGGTGTGTAGACGGAAGAAGCAGCCGTGATAACACTGTCCGTGCACAGCGAGGAGTCAGAAGCCGCTCTCAGCTTGGGGAGAAGGATGGCCAAGGACGACCCGGGTTCGAATCTTGGGGAGGCTGGAGTCTTGGTGGGTGTCCAGAGCTGCCAGCAGGTCCTCAGTGTAATGGAGTTTTTGAGTCAGAAGTGTAGAGCTTATGCCACGAGAAATAAGGATCAGGCATCAAGATTGCATTCTAGTAGAAATACACTAGTAAATTTAGGAGAATGTGTATGGAGATCACCCCGACCTTGAGGGGACGGAGACTGATTTAGGGTCGGAGGAGGGCTGAGGTAAGGGAGTAAAGGATGGGACCATGGAATGGCTGGGACCACGGAATGGCTGCCTAACTATAACTGTGCGAATGAAGGTGGCCAAGAATATTACAGAAATTAAGTCTAGTCGAGACGAGAGTCCTGGTCTTAGCTGCCCTGAGAGAACTTCATTCGGAGTCGGCTTGGCCGTGAGGCCAGTCCGTTTCTGGCAGTGCTGCTGTGGTAGGAACGCGGTGCGTGTACTTCATCAGATTCGCTCCCATGGAGAGAGCACGTTCAGTGCTGAGCTGAACCGGAGGCGCGGGGAGGCGTGGGGAGGCGTGGGGCCGAGGAGCCTCCTTGGGTCACGCAAGGGGACGGTTTACGGGCAGCACGTTGGCTCCAGCCTGCGATCTGGAGAGAGAAATGTGCGGGGGACACCCTGCCCCTCCCGAGTCTCTGGGAGGGCTAGGTGTCGATGGGCTAGTGGCCACGCCTCCGAGGTGTTCCTTCTCTTCATTCTGCTCCTCTTTCTGGGGAAGAAACCAGGCATCTGAGACCGGTGGTCACCCGCTCTCCTGTGCCCTGTGCTCATTTGGGAAGCCTGCAGTCTCCGTCCCTGTCCCATCCCAATTTCTGCCGGAAGGAGGTTCATAGGTGACAGAGAGAACGGGATCTGAACCCTGACACCGAATGGACTAGCTGTGTGAAAGCTCGGGCATTGAGCTCAGAGAAACATTCGACTGACCAGATTGCCAGGATTTCACTAGAGGATGTAGCTCAGGAACGGGCAGACGGAAGAGATGTTTACGGCAAGGTGCGGGGAGCGGGCACAGAGCTTCCACGTCCTGTTGGGGTGTGCCACATTCCCCAGTCTTTACGTGTTCCCCAACCCAGAAACTCTGAGAGCCCCTTCTAGCCACCCTCAACTAAATCGTCTGTCATTGGTAATTGAACTCAGCCTCCAGCCCCTCCCCGCTTCCTGGAGGTCCAGAGGTGGGACTGACCCTCCAACCACAGGGTTGGTTCCCCTGGCAACCAGGCCTCACCCTGGGGGCATCCCAAAAGTCGCCTAATTAGCATAACAAATGACACCTTTTCCTTTCTCCTCACTTAGGAAAGTCCCAGTGTTTTCTTGGGAGCTCTGTGCCCGGAACTGGAAAAGCCAGGATGTATTCCTTACTGGAAATCCCGGTATCGCATAGACACTGAGATGCGGAGACGGATGAGGGTTAAGGTTTTCCAGAAAGGAAGACCTGAAGGAAGAAATTTAAAAGTGCGATTCTGCTTGCCTCGAGGGCTTGCTTCGTTGTAAGGGTCCCACGGGTCTGCGTTCTTTTTTCTTCTGAGTTCCGAGTCACACGCCGTCAACATGTCCGTGTCCTTGAGTATTTGTTGCATGTACTTAGCCTTGGCTGTTTCCTTCCACCCAAACCGGGCTGTTCAGTAGATTTTCGCAGGCTCTTCCTACCTGGAGATAGTAAAACATTAGTCTTTTGCCTTCGGGGCGTGATCAGTGAAGTCAGACTGGGGGAGAGAAATTATTCAGGCTTATTGGGACTGTATTAAATGATTAGGCACAAAGCTGGCATCTGCTAGTCAGTGCTCATCAAAGCAAGGGGAGAGATGGCACGGTAAATTGTGGGAATGCATAAAAATCACCGTGATTAGCTTCAGTCATGTTTTGAGAGGTAATTCCCATTTCCATTAAGTGGAAGCGTTTAAGAGTTTCACCGTGTAGGGGCGGGGAGCGACATTTACTCTTCGAATGAATCAATCTGATTTCTTTTCTGGGTCCATTAAAGTGCACCTAATGCCAAAAATGCCTGTTTTCGTGGAGAATGTTAAGCGGATAAAACACTCCGGCTCCCAGGCTCTGAGTGCCCGCCTGGGGCCTGGGGAGAGCGTGCTCGGGGCCGACGGGGCGGGGATGGGGTGCCCCTGGACTTAGGGCTGCCCTCTCCCGTCTGCTGGGTGTCAGCGTCATCTCGAAAGCCGCGAAGCCCCGAGTCCCTCTGCCACCTCCCCGAGCAGGCCAGGAATCCGCCCCAGCTCCCTCTGGCTCCAGGCCAGATCTGCCATCTCCCTTTGTCCCGGAGATGGAACCTTTAAGCTGGCTTGACCCCTTCTGGAAGCTTCCTTCAGACTCCGGACCGTCAGGTGATTTCACCCTCGCCCCCTCTGCTCCTGCTGCTGCTTCCACGTCGACTGTCTATCCCTTCTGTCCTCGCTGGACGCCCCGCTAGGCCCGGGCCAGCCAAACGGGTGTCCGTGGGTTCTCGCTCTCGCCGCCAGTGGAGACGCGCCCCTCCCGGACCCCCCGTTGCTGTGCTTCGCCTGCCACCCTTCTCTGCCCTCACAGTCCCCGGCACCTGGGCTCGCTTTGGAGGACCGCCCCGCGCACTTCGTCCCAGATTGCAACTTCCCTGGCGTCCCCGTCTGCACCCCCAACCCCTGCCGTGCCCCCGAGATCGGTAGTGCAGGGGTGTGGGAGCCCAGCGCCTGGCCCCAGGAGCGGGCAAGCCGAGCCGTGACCCCCCGCAGGGTCAGGCCGTCCTCTCCCCGGGGACCTTCGCGGAGGTGTGCGCGTGCCTGTCTTGCCCCCTCGCCCACCCCGGGTCCCCCGTCCTGCCGTGTGCCGGGCTCAGTGGAGGGAGCACCCTCATCTCTGCGTCGGCTGCTTTGTCGTCTGACTCCGGAAAGCACTGGAAGCCCTAGAGCACCTCGTCACACTCCGGGAAGCAGGGCGTGAAGTTAGCCGGCCCTGTGCCCCGTGCCCCTGGGTTCCACCCTCTGCAAATAGATGACTCGTGACAGAGATGGCCTTGTGGGGCTGTTTTGGGGATCAGGTAAGGTGGTGTATATGGGCATTTAATAGATTCCCTGTGACGTTGGGAATCCATCGTGCACGTGTGCAAACACACACACACACACACACACGTACACACACACACACACCCCTCTCACTGCCTTGGGCAGGAGTAACCTCTGTGTCTCCCCGCATGTGCTGTGCATTGTGTAGACACTTCGTCAGCACCAGACCCCACTTCCTGGAAGTGGGCGGTCACAAACTCAGGCGACACAGAGCTTGAATTGGAGCTCAGTGACTGGGGTGGGGACCTCGGGGACTGGGTGACAGTCCCGGTGAGTGTGACAGGGCTCCGGGAGCAGGGAGGGCTCAGGCGCTCAGAGCCCAGGCCGCCTTCTGCACCTTTGTCCAGGGCACCGAGCCGCAGGCCGGAGGGGAGGGGCCAGGAGAGCTGGGGGACGTGCAGCCCGCCCCTCGAAGTCACCCTCGGGGTCGCACTCAGCTGTTCCTCCGCTAGGGTTTACTTCTAGGGCCACGCGGGAGGAGGAGGTGCCGGGAAGAGCAGCCTGCGTCGTGAGCGTCCTCGGCCTGGGACAGTCCCTCTGCCTTTGCTCTGGCGCTGCTGTGAATTTCCAAAATGAGTTTAGGGGACGATGCCCCTGGATGTGAACCCCATGGAAAAGTTCCTCCGTCTTCTGTTTTCTTTCAGGATTTGTGTTTAATTCAAAGGAAAACGTGCTTTAGGCGCATAGGTCTATATCATTAACCTTGGCTACTCTGATTGACAAAGGGCGGGCTCGGGATCGGTCCCTTAGCCGGCAGGAGCGTCTGGCCGGACTTTAATAGTGTAGGTTTTCTCTTTCGCCGACATCTCTTCTGTGTGGGTTCGCTTTTATTTAAGAGAATGATGTCACGTTTCCCTTTCGAGCAGATTTTAAAACAATACGCGTGGTTTCGAAGGGGAGCATTCCGGGACGCTGGTAGAGGCGGCGTGAGGGTGCAGTAGGAGCTCTCGGGGGTTCCGTGTGAGCAAGCGAGATTGGGGACGCAGCTGCATTTGATCCACGCGGAGCCGTGACCTCGGTCCGCAGCGCCGGGGCAGGGCCCACTGCCCTTCCCGCCGTTCTCATTTCCCGAAAGGTCAGGCGTCAGAGGCGTCGTGGTTCGCATAGCGCGCCTTTGCTTCGGGGTCCTATTATCGTGTGCCCAGCAAAAAGTTAGGAAACTGTGGCTTGAGGCAACTGCGCAGAGCCAGGTTCTCCCGCAGAGGCCCAGCGGTGGAACAGGACGCATTTTAAACCGGAGGACGGGCGTCGGGGGGCGGGGCTGCCAGGTCCAGGCTATCGTAACTGGCTCCCGGTGCATCTGCCCTTGACCCTGTCGTTCCTGTGCGGCCAGAGAGAAGACGGCGGAATTATGGTCAGAGTTCTCGGTGCGGGAAAAGCGGCAGGACGTGCCCGTCTGACTTTGTCTCCGTGTCGCATTTGGGCGCTCGCAGAAACACTGCTCCCCATTTTGTCTGCTTAGCTCCCCGGGGACGTCTCCGGGAGAGCCCG